TTCAGTCATTTGAAATTTACGCACTATTATCTTTCCTAAAAATTTCCTAAAATCGTTTCATCATTGAGAGTATTTCCTCGTCAAGAGTAAATAAAGCATTTTCTAACGTTTGCTGAAATTATTAATAATAAATGGGTATACAATTTTACAAATCATGCTACATTTTTATAATGACTTTTAATATGCTTAAAATGAAACAAATTTAACAGCAAAATGGACATTCCTCATTTTACCATAGAAGTGAAATTGCCAGTAACAACGTTAACTTTTTTGTGTCTAAAATTTCTAGATAGTTTGAGAATCTTGCAGGCTTAAATACTTACTGGAATAAAGTTCGCTAAGAGCTGAAAGCAATTGTTACAAATGTTACATCACTAACATATTTTTTACATTCTTCTACGCAGATATGCATTGAGTTGCATGCATTATTTAATGCTAATAATCATTGTGACACTTCTCAAACAACCAATGAAACAAAGCGACAATCTGTCATAAAGAATGCTCATTTTGTGCATTTGTTTCTCACACAGAGATTAGAAAGATTATTAAGCACTGGTTTTATGAAATATATGGTACAAAATGGCAATGGTTCAGGTATGAGTATCAAAAGAGAGAGTATCCATTGTAATGGAATTGCAAACTGAAAATATGATCCTGGTTTGGGGTCTCAATACCTTCTGTATAATTTAAATTAAATCTTGTCCTCAAATGATAACAAAATCTGAACTCGATAAATAGTACTAATGAAATATTTTAGATTTGTAGTTAATTAACGAATTGGTCCAGGCCCATTGATAGTCAGGGAAAGGAGGGGCTCGCATTTATAGGTTTATGATATGCAATGCTCTCTTTTTCAAAGAATAGTGCTCAAGTTTTTTCAAAGAATTATACAGAAGTATCCATTTAATTAAATGCAAACTGAAAATTTATCCTGGTTTGATGCTGTTCCAACCATCTAATTCAAATCCGTACTAATGTTTGAAATTCATTACCAATAAATTAAAAAATTAATTTTCTTACTTTATTATGCATTGACTTTGATAAGTAGCTTTATTTATTATTAAACAATGTAAAATGAATATCTTGCTAGATAGTTTAATTTTAATTGATGCATTAAGAATAAGGTGGCTTTGGTTCGACTGGAAATTTAAATATTTCATTGGTCAATATGATCAGTGTTCGATCTAAATAATCAGACCTTGACTCGTATAGAGTCACTTACTTCGTAATTGGTTCGTTTATTGTTTACTGTCATTTGAAATTTCGACTGATAGCCAACTGAACTAACATAGTCAAGCTCACTGTCTGAATTGAATGTTTGATCGTTTCATAGTAATTTTTTAAAGCATGATAGAAACTAAATTACAATCACATGGAATTTATAGAAATTATTTACAAATTCATATATTGACATGAATGCTGCTTTCCAAACTGGGAATTTTACAAATTTATGGATTAATTTTAGAATCTGCGACATTTCAGTCATTGATGTTCAAAAGAAGCCAACTTTGTTTTATCAGCAGAAATTTACATCCAAAATCGTAAGTAAAGGACAACTGAAGTATGCATGAATGTAATATATCAAAGTCAATTTATGCGAGTGTGTGATGCGATTTATGTTAATATGGCGTATGGTAAGCAGATTGATGCTTCTAAAATGTTGTTAGGACTTTTAGCTATGATTTCTTTAGTGCTTGGAATCGTGACCGTTATATGGCAGCGAAATCCTACATTCCTGAAAATATATTTCAATGGACAAATCTGTTAACCATTCTATTATTTACTTTATCATAAAAATGTTTCTTTTCAGTTTATGCATTGATCATTCAATCTGAGTTATATGCATATTGTTTAAGATGAAAACTAACATTGATTACATGAGAGGCTGTTTACATAACCATTTTGAGTCTTCTGATCCATGAAGCGACAATTTGACTGGAATGGTCATAAAAGTATTTGCTCATTTTGCTCATTTGTTTCTCACACAGAGATTAGTTAATCTAGGACTCATACCAGATTGTTTGCCATAAATTCCAAAGGCTATTGATGTATGAATAGCATTTTCTATAAAGTAAAAATGTCTTTCCATGTATGCAGATAACCTTGAAATTTGAAAACAGCAAAATTTTTGATGTCCTAGGTAATTTTTCTCTCAGTATAATTTCTAAACTAAATTATTTCAGATTTAATTTAAACTCTTTGTCCTCAAAAGATATTTATCATAACCAAAGCATGAACATCCAATAACATTCATGTAATTACTAATAAAGAAATATTTTAGATTTGTATTTAAATAATGCTATTTGGTGCAAATACACATTTGATAGTCAGGAAATGGATGGCATTAAGCTGCCTTTGTAAATTTTATGATAATGCAATGGCTGAGTTTTTTCAAAGAATTTGCTCACTGTTGTTTAAATGGTTACAAACTTGCATGGTTTAGTCTGACCATCTATAAACTGTCACTTGTCATACCAAACTAATTTAACTCATTACATAGAGGTTTGAACTCTAACTATCTGACAACTTGGTAGAAATTTTCTACATCTGTTTTGAATAGCATTATTGTAAAATAAATTTTACGTTCCAATTAATCAAATTTAACATTCAAATTGTTCATCTATTTTTTTTTAATTTTTTTACCAAAACGATGCATAAATCTTGTAGAAAAAATTGTTTTTCTAAAAATTTTAAACAGAAAATATTTTAAGATAAACTTAAGTCAATATATTTAAATTAAATCTTGAAATCTAACAAAATATGTCGGTAAATAGTACTAATGAAATATTTTAGATTTGTAGTTAATTAACGAATTTCATTGATAATGTTGCATTTATAGGTTTATGATATGCAATTTTTTCAAAGAATAGTGTCAAATTTTTATTATATTAGGTGATGCTAAAAATCTTCCTTTATGTTCAATATATGTTGGTTAATTTAATGAAGTTCATTGTCTCAATATTTATCATACACACCATAAAATGAAACACTTATCAACAAATAATATCTTTGACAAAGCATTTCGCGCTAAACGCTTGGTCAGTGTTTGGGACCATACGAGAACACTTGGAAGTTGGAAACTGACAACGAAAAATTTTAACATAAATGACTCAACATCCTAAAATTCTCAAACTATTGGGTATCAATTCATTTTAGCATATTTTCTTACGATAAAAATTTATGTGAGATTTTCACGATAAATTATTCTACCGACAAAGATCCTTGTGATACATCAACAACTCACTGGATGTTTACTATCTTTATATACAATCGTTGATCAAAGATTACTTAAATACCCAGAAAATGCGTATTTTTTATTGTGAAAAGCTGAAGTTACATCTGTGTGCAAAAATTGAGTGAATTTAATCATCGTTTACTCTATTTTGTGGTATCCAAAACATAAAAGCCTTAAATTCCGAAAACCTTTCGTAAGTATTGTGATGTGTGTGTACTAATATAGTATGTGCATACTGCATAATGTGATGTGAATGCACTTTTGTATTCATTTACAAAACGTCCAAGTAATAAAACTTACTAGGCTATATATCTAATGATGTAATTTGTTTTTGTATGTCTATTGTATTTTGCAAGATATTTGAAAATAAACAAACACTTCCGGAAATCACTAAAATGTAAATTTTGTTACATGTAAACGGCGCCGTCGTCAAGAAAAATGAATTCTTGCAAAACGAGTTTTAATAATCATTACATTTGTGATAATTTTTTGCTTGGAAACAGTGAAACATGCAGCTCTATATAACTATTGTCTTCTATAACATGATTGCTAAGTCAATATGGTGATTTTTAATTTATATGGTTAAAATACGTCCTGTGAGACTGGTTAATATTAAATCAACATAGCACATTCCCGTCTGTTTTAACGGAAATTGGCGTTAATATTAAGCTCGGTTTCCATATAATCATCGAACCGCCAAGCGACGAAAAATAGCGATTTTGGCGCAGCGATTAAATGGAAACAATGTTGGACGATTAGGAACCAGTTCTATCTCGACGATCGAATTTTGCGAGCGGCAATGGGCGACGGTTGCTATTTGTAATGGAAACCGGGAATCGGACGTTTCGATGATTCAACGCGCAATAAAAATTATTCATACCATGAATTTATACTGAAATAAAACCAAAATAGGCATTGCATTTCTAGTTCTTCTAATAATAAGCATCAATCATCGAATGTTGCTCTTGTAACGGACACCTTCAATGATTTACGACTGACGTTTATGTTTAAAAGCTCAAGAGCAGCTCAAAATATTTTGTTCAAGTTTTAGATTATACAGATTTTTAAGAAATATAACCATCTGGGCAGGTCTAGATGACGTGTACATGCTATAAGAGAAATATATACATTTAATCTATCTTAGAAGTAAATTGTCCATTGTTTTATTTTGGTCCCCTGTACTCGAAGTGCGCACAAATTTACCTAGTACCCATGCTTTTTAGTGTGTTGACGATTGGCGATCATATGGAAATCACGGGTATTTCATAATTTTTGACAGCTTATCAAGTGGGCTTAATAAGAAAATTGAGTTTTTTCACACGAATGATGATTCGGCGATTATATGGAAATGAGCTCCATACTCCTTCTTCAAAGAAGAAAGTGCAGGAAATTGCATTTTGTATGACAAAAAAGGATATGAAGTAATTATCAAATTAATATGTAATGCTTAATTTTCGGCTAAGAACATTTAATTTCTTAAGAAAGGTCATTGTTTGCATAATTTTCACCATTTGTTTCTTCAACGTGTCATATTTTATTGACTGTTAAAATCTTCTGTAAACTTCCGTTTCAGCAAAATGCGTATCAGATAAAATTCGCTCTTAATTAGGGAAACTGCAACAAAAGCAAAGGTTCGTTGAATATTTAGGTGCAGTTTAACTTTGAAGTTAATTGTTTTTTGGTGAAACATTTTGGAACGATTTCTTTCTGTAAAGATGGCTTACTCCAACTTTATTTCATTATTGATTATTTTAATTGTATTCAGTAATGTGCACAGGTAAATATAAAGTTTCTCAAAGTTTTGTTGTACGTGCTAAAAGACTTAGCTATGTATAGATGCGTCAAGCATATAAGCATTCAAAAGATGCATCATATGCGACGGGTAGGAGCTTAGTTTGGACATATATTTTCGAACGTTATTTCATTTTCTCAATGTTACGAATTCCCGCATAGTTGTGTATTACTGTTCTACAATAAAAAAAAGATACCTTTCTGGTATTGTTGAACTTTTGATGATTAACGACAGTCAATAATGCACGCGTTCTGAAAGTCGACGGTTGATTTCCGGGAAAAAATAGCTCCCGCGCTTTACATCTTATTTCATTTTACGTTTCAAATAATTTTAAAGATAAATTCATTACCATTTCGAACGAAACGATTTTTGATAACATGTTTATATCTCCAACAAATTTGTCTTTAAAATGCTTTTGATTAAAAGTATTATACTTTAATTATTCAACCGATCAATTGAACGCATGTTTACAAACGTAGAAACGGACAATATTATAAAACTGTAGTTTTGTTTCCATTATTTCCTTTATAACATTTTCATAGAACCTTATTTCCGATGATTCTACGCGACTGCGATAAAATGATGTATGGTTTCGCCTAGAGCAAACGCTTCATCGTGTTCATAATTCATATTTCATGGTTAAACTCGCACCATGCGTTTAAATTATTATTGACGTTTTGTTAAATCCACATCGATATTTCAAGTAATAATAAAAGCTGGAACGAAAATAAATACATGCTTACACAACATTTTTCTCACCGTGTGACCATAGAGCGCAAGATAAAAAATGTGAACCGACCGGCTAAATACGGCACGGTGAATCCATTTCATGTGTTTTTCGCCAAACGAGGTATTTATAATTGATGTCGGTAATCACTCGATTTTAGCATCTACTGTATTACGTTATTTAGGCCGCATTTCATAAAATCCCCCCCAGAATTGTTAACAGACAGACACTAATCGAGATTTCACCAGTATACAGGTCGCGTTGGGGAAAAGGTCCAGTCATGTCAAGAATAGTGTGCTGCCACGCCTCAGCGTAACTAGAAGCTACTATTAAAATGAAAGTGTTGCCTTGCCACACTAAATGAATACAAATTAAAGTCGAAGCAATGTAAAAAAAAATAATTTACTGAACAATTATCATAAAGATACTTCTATACCTTTAAATATTACCAACGAAAATACTCCAGCCATGTATGACAGCTTCTTAAAATATTTATTGTATTATTGTGTATAGTATTTTTGAACTGCTGATCCCTTCTAACTATTGTCACAACAATTAAAATAGGTTCACATGTGTAAAAAAAATTAACTTATCAATATCAGTTTTTTACAATCTAAGTTCTTGAAATTTTAAGTTCTTAATATTACAAACTATCATATTCACATTGACGTCATTGCTTAGAAAGTGCAATTGAAACGTAAACAAAGTCAAAACTAAAACTATTTAAGGTATGCAGAGTTAAGCTTTTTGTAAACTGTTTATTTGTGTCTATATTTTTATAGTATATACGTGCAGTTAACACTGTAGGCTTCACAATTTCCCATTTGATCAGTTTTTGGAATAACTTTTTTGAAGCATGTTATACATGTCGATGTGTATGATGCATTAAACACACCAAGAATTCATCCATGGACTGTTAATGTCGCAATTAATAGATTCTAAATTATTTTCAAATTCTTCTGTTGCTTCAAAGAGAATTTTTTTCTAACTGAGCTGCATTTTCATTTTTTGCAACTTCCACGCAAAGGTTTTGGAGCAAATACGTTTGATGCAGTTTCAGAGTGACTACATTGTCTTGCTATAAAATAAGTTTTACATGTAGGATGAGTCTTGTTTTATTTATCTCTTTTAAGTAAGTATAAGAAACTTCATAAGGAAATTATCTAGAGCATTTATTGGAGGTTTGAAAATATCAGTTGTCATTGATAAAGAATAGTTCAATTCAATCGTGCAAGATATAGATTCTAATTGAGGTATTAATTTCGTCTTTTAAAATTGCGTCTTTTAATCTTTCGTTTTAGCGAATATTCTGAAGTTGTACAGGAGTGTTGTACGTTTTTCATCTCTGTATGTTTTCCGGGCTGAAACAGACTCCTTTTAGGACTGTTTTTTTCTTCCTGGAGAGTGAGGTGAAATACCAGATTTTTTTTCATCGGGGATGTGGCGTGGATAAAACAATGCAAACATTCTAAAATTAAGAAAAACATACACTAAAAGCACATACTATTCGGTCTACGACAGATCATTGAAATCATTCACGATGTCAAATATTTGAAGTAAAATGCAAATTTAATAACTATACCTAAAGAATGTAAAGAATTGTAAAGATTTGTAAAGAATGTAGCAGCAAAATAAACTATTAAAAACAATTGAAGACATGAAAATGATTTTTGACAAATTTTTCTCAAAGGAACTGAGAAATCATAAATCGTGCATTTATTATAAAGTCATTGTCTTCATTAAAAGAATATTCCATACATGTGTAATTGTGGTCATAAATATTTCATAACAAGAACTTATAATCTTAAGTTGATATCAGTTTAATGAAAATGCACGTAAGAAAGCTTTTCTTAACTAGAAACATTCCTTTATAGTTTATTATGTTATTTCATCAGTGTTTAGCAGCCAAAATATTCCTAACTGTTATAATTTTTATCAATTTCGTCTGAAAATATTCATTGATTTTTGTTTTGCGCAGTTCAAAATGTGAGAGCTGATGATGACTTAATACAGATGGAGAGGAAAACACGCAGCGTTGTGGGTGTTGGTGAGTTGGAAAATACAGTCTAAAATTCCACATAGTTAAGAAAAGAAGAAATTAATGCTACTTTAATGTATCTTAATTCCTTTCATTAAAATTAATGTGTTTCATATTACTTCCTGAAATTCATTTTAAGTCATATTTTTTCAGCATACGTTGTCAAGTCCCTTTCTAGCGATATTACTTATTTGTCTGCCAAGACGACATGTAAAGCTGATGGAAAACAATTGTGTCCTTCTTTTGTCATTTGTCGAGATGGTAAATATCCAGTTGGACCAGTAAGGTTTGGTGATCATTGGACTCCTGTTAAAGACGCATATAACCAATGGCTTCAAATTGGTAAAAATACTATCTACCTGTATAGAAAATATAGTTACAAACATCCTCGAAAAAATATAATATTTAGTAACACTAGGGAGAAGGACTTCTGTTTGAAAGATAACTGGTTTCATCCTTTCTATTTATACCTTTTAAAAATAATTATTAGCTTCAAGACTTATTAACTAAAAGATTGATTTTATAAATGTTTTTTAGGCAATAATGGTCCTCATAAGACATGCATACTCCATTCTTCAGTAGGATATCTTCCTTCATGGGGAACTCAAACATCACGATATGCATTTAAGGGATATGTATACTGCTGTACTCCTCTCCTGTAAAATAAAAAAGTTGATGCTTATTTTCTATGAAATTTCTTTCGTTATACTTTATATAGTTGTATCTCATTTTGTGCACTGGTAGTGTTTAAAATAAATTCTAATGTTTTTTTTCTCTCTTCAAGATGCTGGTTTCTTCTCTTTTTTCGATAGTTTGTTTATGTTTTTAATATTTACGGAGTGCCAAATTAAAAAATTTCTTCAAAATCACAATCGATGTTTTCCACTATTATTTACAATTATGTGTCTAATGTATTTACTTTTAGGTCATAAGTATCAATAATGTTGATTCAGTACTTCCAAAGATCTCCACAAAGAATATAAAAATTTTGATCTTTTTGGAAAGCCTATTTCTATTCTTTGATTGTCATAATTGTAAAGACTATCTAGAAATTTTATGTTCCTTTTGCAGGACTCGTGCCATCAAAATTTTTAAATAGTCAAAGTTAACTTATGTAACATTATGTTTTCTTGCTAACTCAAGTATTAATAGCTATTATGCAGAAAATGCAAATATAATTTAAATGTATTCGCAAACAAAAAGTGACTTGTTATATACATGCAATCGCAGTAAACCTATAGACTGCTCGATTGAATCCATAAATATTTCAAGTTTCCATCAATACCTTAGCTTTAATTTGTTATTTTAATTGACTACAATTGTTAAAGATTTAATTCATTTTTGAAAACAAATCTAAGGACGTATATAGGAATTAAGTTGAATAATAGTGGAGGATTGGAAACTTTTTTCATGTATACTCGATAAACAACAAGTACCTTTGCTGCATTAACGATCAAGTGTAAATAATGGGCTAAGTCGCGGAGCTAAATCTAAACTTGGAAATGGATTTATGTACGTTCAAATAATTTTGTATAGAAAACCGAAACTCACTAGTGTACATTTGATTCTAATTATAAATATTGAATGCTAACACATGTTCAAAAATCATGGTATCAATTGGCTTGTGGAAAGGCCATTACTACCCTTGAAATCCACTTCCATGAAAATACGACCTCGTAATTTTTTACTTAAGAAGTGAGAACTTTCGTTTATTTTCATTTTTTGCATTTAATATCATAGTGCATGCATACAAAATTGAAACTGTATATTTTAGAACGAACTTCATTAGTTTGTCTATGCATTTAAGTAGCTACACTTCATTTAACTTTCTTGAATGAAATATTGTTCTTTTTTGGGAAAAAAATTGTTTAATAATGTATATTTTTGTGTCATTTAACGTCTTTGTTGGCCAAGCTTTTAATTAACTCAATCCCAAGCAACGCTACATTGCTTACAATACTGGGATGTGGTAAAAATTCCACATCTTTGCATTTGCAAAGTGTAGCAAAAATATGTTGTGATTTGATACAGTAATTGTGCTGGTGTAATATTTACCAAAACCCTGGTTGTTATTTAGAATTGTTACGATCACATTCAATTAAGAGTTAAATAACTGGCTGCATCTAATCAAAAATATTTTAAACAATTTAAAAATAATTAATTATTTAAAAACACTTCACCCTTTGATAGACAAACATTGTAAATAGAATGAACATTATAAGGAGACGATATTTGATTAATAGCTTATTCGAACCAAATAGATCTGTTCATTACTGCTGCCTATTTTCATTGATTTTAAAATTTGGGATACAGCACCTACCTTACTTTTCCGCTGTACTATAATTCACCCACTTATAAATAGGCTAATCTTAGTACTGCACGAAATATATTCGTCTAAAAAGGGTTTCCTAATTTCTATTAAATTTATTGTCAATTTTAACATATAGAGTGCCCTCTTGTACAGCCTTTTATTGCTGGTTATGATCATGTCCATACGTTTATTTGTTATTATTTGTCAACAGTGCTAACAGAATAAAATCAATTTTTTGTCTCTATGCTTTATTTCTTCAAACTAAACAAAACACATGACATTGTAGATACTCTAACACAGAGTAAGCCATAGTAAAATTCACTCAATTTTCAATAGGTAAGTGAAACTGTAGCGCTTTACAGTAAAATTAGGGCTCTTTTGAGCAATTAGTAATACTGCCTTCTAGAATATTTTTATTTTCGAACGTCTGTTGCTATGGCGATACACTTATATTATCTTTAAGAAAACAATCGCTCAAAAGTCTTTTTTGTTATAAAACACCTAAATACTTCATCTATTTTGCATCATTATACAACCAACTCGACTTCTCTTGTTTGTTAAAGCACGCGTTATTTTTTTATTAGAAACCTCTTTCTCTAATATAGATGACAAATGAAGAGCTTTAGACTACATTGACATGGAAATCCGTAACGATCAGATTTAATTAACGAGCGCAGAATTATTAAGTCATGACAACATACGTCTAGTTAATTTTTTATAACGAAAAAAAGTATACTTCAACAGCTGAAAACTGATTTTATCAAACAATAGATATCACTTGCTCTCATGAAAAGGAGTTGACACAAAATTTTTGTAGATAGAACGATATAGCTTTTGACCATATTGTCAAAATGAATTAATATGCAGGAATTTCAAACCTTAAGTCAGCATCCGTTGAATGAAAATGAATGACAACCAAGAAAGCTATACTTAGGTGAAAACATTTTTTTATTACTTATTGTGTAGCTTGATAAGTGTGTAGGACATCATAAAAGAGGTTTTTATTGGGTAACTGTTATCATTTTGTAACTAACGTCTATCTGAAAACATGGCTGTCTCGCTTATCTTTTCAATAGTGGTTGTTGTCGTTTTACTCTCAAATGTTTACACGCACAAATTTGATAAATCATTGAAAATTACCAGCCTTTTTACGAGTAATACGAAGTGAAACCTGTATATGCAAACTATTCTTATACGGTCGACTATTCTTCCTGATCCTGACTCTCTTTACTTACACCACAAAGTTGTTTCTCACTTTCTGCATAATTTAAACATGATTTGGCCATGTGCTGTTATGTTTTCAATAATTTTGTTTGTTTTGTCAAATAAATCTTTAGAAGTGTTGACCCTTAGTAATGACGGTGGTTGCTTCTAAACTTTTTAACACAAATTTAGAGTTGCTTGATCCAGTCCTATTTCAAGATCAGTAAAATTACTACATTGAGATTACTAATCCATAACGATGAATTTTTATCAATCATTACAGAACTATGTATTGAAGCAAACATGATTAAATCTTAACAGCATACGTCTCGTAGGTGTTTTGCCTTAACAAAAGTTTTTCTTATTAATTAAAAATTTTTCACGAGATGTAATATCTTGACCTTACACAACTCACGCTTATTAATTCATTCATCGTTATTAAAAATTAAAATGAAAGGGATATTCAATAACTGGTTAAAAGCCAAGTTTTGATAATGTTTAAGAAAAGCATTTCGATGGGATTAACACCCAATATTGTTTTTAAATATGATCAAGTTTCAGAGTTCTGCAATATTTTTTTATTAGCTACAAAATAAATCATTAATGACACTCCCAGACATAACATTGAGCAGTGAAAATACCGTTCTCTATAACAACAAAGACATCTTGAGTTTTTCATTTTTTATATGGTAAAGAATGCATTATTAATATGCATTATCTCTTGACAATGTTATCGTAATTCTTTAAAAACAGGAAATTAAAGTCTTATGAGGGGATCCGTTTTATGAAAATGTTTGACAAACAAGAAAGCCGTATTTAACTAGAAACATTTCTTTATAATTTATTATGTTAATCCATCAGTGTGTTGCACAATATTAAAGAGGTTCATAGAAAATAACCTTGATAATTTTGTTCAAGTTTTCATCTGAAAATATGGCATACTCATTCTTCTTTTCGATACTGGTTGTTGTCATTTTATTCTCCAACATTTGCAGGTAAAATTTAGACTTCTACTAAACGCATTAATATTTTAATCAGCTAAAATAAATCCTCATACTTTGCTTTCACTTTGTTCTGCTGATAAATCAATTCATTTTACGCGGAAGAATAACATTAGTATGTACGAAAATTTATTTCCTACGCACGAAAATATTGGTATAAATAGAAGTAAAATTAGAGACTAAGAGTAGAGTTGTTATTCGATAAGAATGTTAAGCTTTCAAGATTGTTGTGAATAGGTCGTAATTCTTTCTTATTGAAAATTCCATAACTAAGAATCAAAGTGCAGATCAATTTGCTGGACGAACTCAACGAACTCTGCGATAAAAAGTTCAACTACCTTACGATAAAAGTTCAGCAACTTTACCTAACACTTTGAACATGTTGATACATATAAGTTCTCCAATCTTGCATGTAATCTTCCAGGAAAGAAAACGGTGCTATTACTGCAAAATAGTTAATAAAGTGTACAGCAGCTGCATAATCAACAGTAAGCGTGGGAAATTGTTTTAAATGTAAGAGTATTAATGCCATTGTTGTGTGTTATGAGAACTAGTTGATGCTATTTACATGCAACAACTCATGCTAGTAATCGTCAAATATTTATCACTAATGACCTTAGTCGTCAAATCGCACTCAACATATTTATCACATCATGAATAAGTGCTAGTTGAAATTTTTACGTTGAAATGCGCTGAAAATCTTACACGCTTCTGTGACATACTCAAGTTTGACAAATACTATAGCATATTTCATATTGTATTGTACAGCATATTTCAAATTGTGTTGTACGTCATAATTTTCTTCCGCTAGTTTTACATATAATTGCCATTCTTCATCTAAGTTATATTATGCAAAGAATTAGAAATCTTCTTTTAAAGAATAGCCAAAACATACGTTTGCCTTATTAACTAACTAAAAACGTATTTGTGCTGGTCGGAAAAATTATAGATAAATTTGTACTTCGAAGTGAAGGATTGTGGTAAACCTTTGTATTGTTTTTGGCAAGAGTCCAGGAACTAGTTTAAAATCAGTATTGTAGTCAGCTGGCCACGAAATTAGATGGCATAAGAATTTGAAATGTAGAAAATGCAAACACACATGTCGCAAAAGGTATTCCAACAATGCTGCAGTCATTGCATTTTAGTCAGTGTTAATAAATGCTGCCACGCCCCGGCGTGAAAGAACACTTATCTTGACATGAGTCGACCTTGTCTTTCCGCCCGATATATATACATGTGAAATTTTGATTTTAGAGGTCTGTGGTATC